TTACAAGTAGCGCACATTTCCCACTTTTTGATGTTTTTTTGCATATATCCGGGACAGTTTCACTGTGCTAGCCTTTTTTAATTCAGGAGGTGGATAATGTTTTTGGTAATATGTAATACTGGCCTCAAAATACTTCAATTTAGTTCCTGGGCCCCTCCAATGACTACATTATATTTTGTTTTGAACTTCTTAATTTGTAAAAATTTTTTAGGAACCGAAACATCTTTGAAGAAGGCGGAACCAACATCTGCTGAATTCAAGAAGTCAGCCGCCCCTGTAAGTTGCAGCTGCATTTGTTCTGTGCATTCATTACATACTTTTTCCTAGTTATGCATTTTTGGTATACATGCAAATGCAAAAACACATTATGACAACCCATGGTGTGCGTGTGTTTGTGTATGTTCGTGCGTGTATGTGTGTGTGTGTCTGTCTCTCTGTCTGTCTGTCTGTCCATCCGGGTATTTCAACTCGGTAACCGCGCAATCTCCGCCGCCAAAATTTTGTCAGCGGGTTTTCTGGCTAAGTGCCACCCAAGGACAGCGATACCAACCCTCATTCGCATATGGGCCTCGCGTACGACCACGCGAAAGTATTGGCAAGAAATCCGCTAAATCGGAAGCCATAAAAGCTGGGAGGCTGGAATTTTCAGGGATGTTCACCATCGAAGTAGAATTCAAAGATTTCCAATTCAGCGCGGAGTGTGCATGGTTTTCACATATGGCCTAGTGAAAGTTCTTGAAGGAAGAAAGCTGAAAACAGACTTTCCTGTCCCAGCATCACAGCAGTTGCACAATTAATTTCCTGAATTTCCAGGACCAGATTCTAGCTACTGGGTTTAAAAACAATCTTACAACGGCACGAAATAATGCAAAAACGCATTATCGTACGGGCTGGCCTGATGTGTGTCGTTAATGATTTAACGGTATTTCTTAGGTGGAAGCTGAAAGTGAGGTGGACAAAATCCTCGGCGTTGAGCCAGTGAATACGACAGCAATGCATCGGTTTCACTTGTTTGATCTCAATTGCGATATTTGCACGGGTAAAAAGGAACGGGAATATTTGCAAAAGAAAATCAAAGCGAAGGAAAAAGTGGTCGTAAAAACGGTACTTTTTAACAAACTTTTTATTCGCTAAGCAATTTGCAATAAAATGAGGATGTCAGTATTGGTACTGAGGAAAATGTTTTACAGAGGGTAAACGAGGGGAATGATTACCCGGAATTTAACGTTGCTGTTTAAGCCTCCCCACTTTTATTAGTCCCTAGCACCTAAACGATGTATGCACGCCATCTGTTCGGAGACTACTGAGCAGTCATTTACGTTCCCGCAGATATCAATCATCTTAGCCAGTTGTTATCAAAGTGTACAAAGTGCCCTGCTCATCAGATTTTACATTTTAATGTCACTGTAGTGAAATCAGGTTTGTTGAATCCGTCTCTCATAAAGCTTATTTTGTCAACAAAGTATGCATAATTGTGCTTTAGTATTATGTCCTTTTTATGTAAATACTAAAATTGTTTCTTTTTTTAAGAAGCCGAAAGAGGAGCGGACAGTATCAGATGTAAGTTCATCTCGTGCTGCTTTGCTGCCGACGCCAAAAATAAGTTCATCTCGTGGCAGTACATTTTCGGCGCCGGAAGTATCTTCAAACAGTGGCAGTGCAGTTCCGACACCAACAGCAACAGCACGAGATGATGATTACGATGACAATGATTGTTGGGGCATGGGACTGCAAATGGATGATGACGACGAACGAAGCTCGCCACAGGAATCGCGCTGGAGGGCAGAGAATCGGCACTTTAAAGAATGTAAGTAATTCAGAGAAAAACAAAGCTTAGTGGGCGTGATCACTAAGTTTTAATGCATTTTTTTTTGTTGTGTAACAGCAGCACAAAACACACATTGTCTTTTACTTTGTCGCGCTTGTGTGTATTTGTGTGTGTGTGTGTGCATGTGTGTGTGTGTGTGTGTATGCGCGCATGCATTTTGCCCCGCATTTTCAACTTATGAACTAGTAAAGCTAGGAATCTGAAATTTTAGGGCAGTGTCTTCTCCCACCCTGTAGCCCCGCAAGTTCGAATTTAACTTCCCTCTTACCGCGGAGTCTCACCCACGGCCACGTAAGGTTCCTGGCAGGAAAAATTATTATCTAGGGAACCACAAAAGCTGGAAAGTTGAAATTTTAAGTTAATGTCCCCTGCTGATATGCGACCCAGCAACTTCAGATTCAGCCTTCGTATATGCCCAAGTCTCACGTACGGATACCTGAAAGTCTTGGCGGGAAAATTTTGCTAACTTGGGGAAACTTTTGTTAACTTTTAGGAGAATTTTTCCTTTTGTGCAAAAACAGTCAAACTTGAATTCAGTTCCAGCGTATGCCTTGGTCTCACATACGGCTATGTGGAAACTTTAGCGCAAA